CCTCGTCTTCCGGACAGCGTGTATTCCAACGTTCGTATTGATTAGATGAGGGTCAACTCCCAATCTCTTCAAACCATGCATCACGCTTCTCCAGCATGCCAGCAACATCCATGCAAATACCAAGACAGCTAGGCCGAAAGTGTCTGCTCGGGTCATCGCCAGCACTACGCGCAGACGCCCAATCAATTTGTGCCCGCCCTTCATCAAGGGCAACATGGCATCGGAAATCTGAGCTGTCTCTCTTGCTGATGTAGATTCTAATCTTTCTTTTACCATCGGGTGATGGTGTCCAGTCCGCTGCAGATCCTCGATGGCACGGCGCAGGATTGAGACCGCGAATGCGTGTTCGCTGGTGCTGCTAGCGTGCTCAAATAAGCTTGTAGATGCACGATACAGCGGTTTTAGCAGAGCTGGAGTCCCCTACTCTCTCTCTCTCTCTCTCTCTCTCGCGAGCGACTCGCGAGTTTGCGCCTCCGCAGAGACTCCAATCGCCCCTCCGTTTGACGTTGCTTTCTTTCTGCACAAGAGACATCTTGCCTCTTAAGGGTGCCATCACCTTGCAAGCGTCATCATGAAGGGCCCTCTTGACCAACAGACTCCTTCGACAGCCGGTAAGCCCGGGAGTTCAGAGGCAATCCACGACGCAGAGGTCCAAAAGGCGCGTTGACTGTGCCCGACATTGCCTGATTGTGCCTTGCTAAGACCGTCTTCTTGTCGATGCCCGTGTGCTCCCCATGACAGCCGTCAGATGACGCTGCTGCTACTTATGTCAGGGACTTCAAGCGCATGATCACCAATCAGCTGCGCGTGGCAGAGGAATTCGCCAAACAAAGTCGAGAGCGGATTGAAGCTTTGCAGTCCGAGCTGGACAAGTGCAAAGAAGAGCTAGACAACAGAGATGCCACTATTAAAGATATGCAGAACATCCTGGACGTCGAGGGCTCAATCTACGAGGGCGCGGTTCCAGAGGACGTTGAGCGTAAGGTTGATGACATTAACAAAAGAGTCGAACTTCTCGTTAGCTCACTCGTCAATGGTGTATCGACCGCTGCTAACTTCAAGGCGAGTAACGGTTGGGCCGTCTAGTCGTGTTGCTGCCAAATGCTTTTGTGCTGACCCTGAAGAAAGACAAAAGGCTTTGATGCGAGAACAGCTTCACAAGCTGCTTTACGAGCACGTGTGCTTGCCTTTTGTGAGCTTGACCTACGATCAGTTTCCACTCAGTAAGCTCATCGAGCATGTGAGGCATCATGGTGAGTGAATGTCGCCTTATCGGCCAGATACAGCCCCGCGGAACGGCGGCTGATTGGGCGAGGCTCGTAAAATGATCTTGCTCTTCGTGCTGGCGTGAAGACGGTAATTCGGTCGCCATCAGAACCCAGGCGAGGTTGCGTCGTGCTGTTGAGACGCATTTGACAAGCAACGAGCAAAAGGATCAAAATTTGAGGTCGATGATCTCCTCCTTCGTGGGCCGCTTCAAAGCGTCGGACGAGAAATTGGTGCAAAATCTGTCCAAGCTGCGTGAAGACTCGACATTGCGAAGACACCTCCACGACTTGGTCTCTAGGCTTTGCGACGCTACATCCGACGTCAGAGAACGACTCTTGCAGAGAGAGTACCACATTGTACTGGAAGGATACGGCGCTCACTGCGTCTTGAGACTAAAGCCAGTGGTGAGGGAGCCGCAAGACCAGATTCCTTCACAAGAACAGAATCTCGATGTCAGCCTGCTGCCAGATGAACCTGAGGCTGGGGATGAGGAAATCGCCGATGCCAGCGTGGGCACTCTCTCTCTCGTCAAGCTTCTGAAGAGCAGTCGACAGCAACCCCAGAAGATGAAGAATCGATTGCCCCT